TTAATGTGGATTGGGGGTGGGGGGGTTGGGGTATTTTGGTTTTTTTTAACTCTAAGTTAAAGAAACCTGAAACAAATGGGTATTTCTTCTTGCCTGTTAAGTCAAAACATCAGTGACTTAATAGGGTGGAAATTACTTTCTTTCTAAAATCACTTAATTTTCTTTAATTCAGGGTGGCCCTTAATCGTGAACGAGAGTTACTAGAGGAAACTTCTGAAAAACGCTTAGAAATCTACAAGGATCTTGTAAATGAATGTGTCAAAATACCTGATGAAGAAGAAAAAATAAAGGATACTCCTTATAATGAGCAAGCTGCAACTCTGGTATTTCTTTCTCTTCTCGCTCACTCTTTGAGTCATCATCTTTTGACAGATTTACTATCTATGTTAAATCTACTGCTTAAGGTGTTTAGGACCTCCCTTTTTCAGGTATCTTAACTGTCTCTAGATTCCTTTGCTGACAGTACAGAAACAAGACACAAAAATGACAAAAGAGAAACCCAAATGTTCTGACTGCACGGTTGCTACTGAGCCGCCGAAACAGGGAAACGTGGTTTTGCACACTGTCAAAGGCTTGAAATACCTGTACTGGCAAACCACGAAGAGCAGCTCAGCGGCACCAAGGTCTTTTGTCAGTAAGCTGCAATCTGCAAACTTGGGTAAAGGCACCAAGGCATCTTGTCACTAAGTGGCAATCTGCAAACTTAAATGAAGCCTAACCTCAACGGAATACAATATAGACTAAAATACAAAGTTGAAAAGGGTATCTTATCACAATGCTGTACAAAATAAAGTGAGACACAAGCCATGCGGTGCAAAATTAAAGTGAGGAACAAGCCACACTAACCATACAAAATTTTTAGTGCTTAGCCAATTGCAGTAAAGGTTAATCCAAAATTGATCCTAAATTCTGCTGGATGCGAATAAATTTGAGCAAGGTGTGCAGATCTTCGGGTTCTCATAGAAGCGTACTGCTGGGGGAATAGATGATCTAGAAGCTTTGCGGGTAGTGCATGACTGACGGCTTAGCTGATCTGCTCCAGGCATCATCTTTAAGGGTGTCTTTAGAAATCGCGCATAAGAAGTAACAAGGCTTGAACATGCTGTATTGGATTTTGCGAGTTGACTCTGTTTATTCCTTTTCTCTTAAATAAACAAAAGCTTGCTTCAAAGATTTGCGTGTCTATCTCAAAATAAGTTATACCACTTGACCCATTACGGCTACGACAAAAGGGAGTGAGTAAACTCATACCTTTTTATAGTAAAGCTAATATACATTCAAGTGTATAGTTTCAATGATGTGCCTATTCCAGGTGACTGCATTTCTAGGCCCTACATATTCAGTGTTAGTTGTATTTCAGTACTTCCTCAAACAGGACTTGTGGGCATTTTCTAGGAATGGGGACCCAAATGTGAATCTGGACCCTGAACCAGGATATTTCAGCTTTGTCAACATCCTGTTTATGGCTCTACTTCCTCTTTGTGCTTAAATTAAAAAAAAAAAAAAGTATTATTCATACTTTCTAGTTTTTTTTTCTACAGAAATATTCCAAATATTGGATGATTCTTATATCTGAAGTATGTGTACATAGTAATAAATTTTGAAGTATACATACTTCTTAGACAGTGCCCCTTCTACTTCCAACAAAAAAACAATATTATGGGAAATTCTGTTGTCTTTCTATTTTTGATTTGGAATCATAGATCATGGCATATTAGATGCTATAAGGTGGGGAGATTTAAACATGTATCTAATATTTTTTTTTAAAAACATGGATATTTGAGACAGAATTTGACAATAAGTCGTAGGGTCCAAATCGGCAAGATCATTCGGGTCTAAAATTTCATAGCTCTTGCCCTTTGTCCCTCTTTCATGTGGGCATTCACAAAAGAGTTCTTGGTTTTCCATAAAGAGTATGGCTATTTTGCCCAGTAGGAGCCATTTTCTAACCAAAGACTAAATGTTTTTCACTTTCTAGGAGGAGGGCAATGTAGTTCCAAAAAGTTGTATTTATCTTGAGGGCATTATTGATTCTTTGGAAAACGATGTTACTGATATTAAGAAGCATGCAGAAGAAGTCCACAGCTATATTGTATCCTTACAAGACCCACAGGAAGCCATAGCATGGCTTGAAAAACAATTTAAAGAAGTTACTACTGAGCTAACTAAAACCAAAGAAGAGCTAACACAAAGAACTAAAGGTGAGTAGGGATGATTCTGAATTAAGATGGAAAGCAGTTGGGAATTCATTCCTAAGTGACTTGCATATCTAATCAACTACTTTGAATTTGATAGTTGATTTGTGATGGTGATTAGCTGTCATTCATGAATATTGTGCAATTTGTAGTTTGGTTATTGTGTCGTTTTGAAGCTTAACCCAACAGAACCATATAATTTTAAGAATACAGACTCATTAAATAATGCATTTACTTCAGTAATTTGTAAAAGTATGCATTTTTTTTTTTCAAATCAAATGATGCAACTTAAAACTTTTTTTAAAACTTCATTAAGTTGGTTGTTTGTTTCCCCTCCTTTTGTAAGTTTGAAATCACACATGATTTTAAATATTTGTTAAGGTTCAAGGTCCCCCTGAGCCTAGCAGCCCATAGAACTAGTTTGAGTAAGGCACTCTAATTTCTGTAGCCAATAGTAAACAGGAAGATAATGTGTATAAAATAGTGTCTTGCTGATGCAGCTCACCAGTCCCAACTAATAGATCTAGCCTCGTTACAGCTGGGTTCAGTAGGGGTAGACTTTGGTATGAGGTCTGGGCTGAGGCTTCAGCTTTCACCTCTATAGCCATAGTAAGATATCTCTAACTACTCTGCCACCTTGCTTCTACCTACCTCTGAAGAATACAATAAACTAATCCAGCTTTCCTCTAGCAGTGGTCTCACAAGATAACTGGTATTAGTCTGTGATTATACCGGAGATCTGCAGTATAATCTCTTTATCCATATTGTGAAATATTACCCTTATACATGTATTCTGGAAAACCTGGTGGATTTTTTTAAATTATCCTTTTTAGGCTTTTGCATTTTTTTTACTTTATGTAGCTGAAGTAATTATATGGGTGCAACATTAAAAAAGCACTTGTTTATGGGATCTGATTTTAGTCTGAATAAAACATTCAAAAAGCTACAAAAAGGATGCAATTATCGTACTTGCCTGACTCTCCTTTAAAAAACAAACAAACTTTATAAACAAGAAAAGAATGAGTGGAGTTTTTGTTTTGTTTTTGTTTTTGTTTTGTTTTAAGTGGATGGCTGGGTAGTATATAGAATCAGATTTCAGTGAGTGCAACAGGTGTGTGGAGCTATACATTCAGGATGGACATCAGGAGACATTATTTTACGGTTAGGGCTGCCAGGTTCTGGAATGGACTCCCAAGGGAGGTGGTGCTTTCTCCTACCTTGGGGGTCTTCAAGAGGAGGCTGGACAGATATTTGGCTGGGGTGTTCATGACCCTGCACTCGTTCCTGCCCGGGGCAGGGTGTCAGACCTGATGATCTGTTTACGTCCCTTCCGATCCTAAGCACTAGGAAACTATGAAACCTATTGTTGAGGCAATTAGCTTGCTAGACTCTAAAAGATTCTGGTAGGTATACATGGCATATGATAACACTGACTACTTTATCATATGGTACTGTTATGTCTCTAGATCTAGTTTCTCATTCAAACTAGTAATATGGAAGTAGCTGACTTGTATTTGGAAACAGCTGATTGCCAAAAATCAATGCAATTCTACACATAGAAAGTCCAACATTAGGTAACGAGTGATTTAAGTAGCTTGGCATAATGAAAACAATATTTGTTAATGTGTAGACCAGTGGTTCTCAACCTTCTTTAGACTTAAGGCACCCCTTGTTTTATTCAAGGTACCCCTCCATAACTTCTGTGAATTTGAGTGGCACCTCACTTCAAAAACTAATTTATTTTATTATAATGCTTACCTCTCCAGAGGGGCTGGGCAACCGGGGTAGTGGAGCAGCTAGGTAGGGAGAACCTATGTCTGCCCTTATTTGTTTATCTCCTCATACCTGGGGCCTGAGGCTGACCTTATCTTCTGATGTCCTCACACCTCCTGTGGCACCTCTCAAAGGATCTCTGGGTACCCCCATTAAGAATTACCGGTGTAGACATATTATTCACAGTTGCTACTAAGCAAGACTGACAATATTTCTACTTCTGTCAAAAAACAGAAACAGATTTATCTTAAAACTCTGAGAAATGTGCCTCCTTTGAATAAAAGCTCACCTATTGATGTGAAAGAGACTGTCCCATTACCATAACTTGTCAAAGTGTTGCTACAGTCCCTCTTCTGGCCTTTCTACCACAGTGTACCATCTGTCTGGCCACTCCCTATGGCCAGAGGAATCAAAGATTGCCTTTCAATAGTTTTTGGCAAAAATAATACAACTTTTCAATAAGAAAATTAGTTTATGTGAATACCTTCAGAATTGAGTAATTTAGCAGTAACTGAAGAATTGGAATAATTTTTTTTTCTACTCTGTGTAGAAGCATTTGAACTGCCAAGTATTTGTGCTGAATAGTAACAAATAAAATTAGAGGAACTAAAAATATTGATTGAACATGAGAAATAAAATGGTACTTCCCAACGGGGAAAAGATCCAAATACTATATTAAAATAGCTGAAGATGCTGTCTTGACTACTATGAAATGTATCTTTTTTTCAGACTGCTAAGATTATTGCATCTGTTCTTATTTTAATTTTGAATTCAATAGGTTCATTTTTAGCACCATAGTTGAAAGTTGCTGAAGAAGTAAAGCTTAATGCAATCCTAAAGCATTATGTAAAATTTTAATTTTAAACAAATCAGTCTCTTCATTTTATTTGTTTTGGTCTGAAGAAAGACTTGTTGGAGAGAATCCTTACAGTCAGAAATTTTCAGATGACTTGTATTTGCATCTACCTACCATAAATGCTGAAAATTGCACTGAGTGTATAGACAAGCTTTGCAAATCTTAGGTTGATACTACTATCTAGCCTAAGTAGCAGGCTATCTTTATTTAACTTAATGGAAGCATATCATGGTGAGAGCTGGGGACAGATGGAATACCTGGAGAAGTTTCTATAAAAATTATCCTATTATTTAGCCTATGTGACTAATTCAGATGCAGAGCTTAATTGTGTGGAAGAGAGACTGTGTATGTTCTTTGTGTGTTTGGTTTGGTTTGGTTTGGGTTTTTTGCGGGGGGGGGGGGGGGGTATATTTGTTCCTTCAGTGGTGTTCAACTGTTTTTACAAGCAGACCAAACATTAAAATCAGACATGGGCCAAGGGCTGCATACAAAAGCATTTCTGCAGCTCCACATGTTTTCAACTTGCAGGCATATTATCAGCATGGGCTCTGGCCAGAGCCACTGATTTCTCTGTGCTGTAGAGCTTGGTGGATACATGTTGATCCTGTTCTTCTTCTTTTTCCCCTACTGCTGAATTTGTACAGCAACAGTATTCACTCCCTGGATTCTGGAGCTGCATGAAAACAGTAGTTCTGACCAGATCCTGTGCTGACCTGCTGGTGAGCTTGGAGAGCTCGCTGCTCTGGCAAGAACCAGTCTAATGTGCTTGCTGGTGATAGGTCACTTGCACAGGCTGCATCCAGTCTGCAGGCCATAGGTTGAACACCACTGCTGTAATATTTAAAACCATTGATGCAAAACCTGCTTCTGAAGGGACTTGTGCTACTTGTTGAATGAAAAAGAGGAAAATTGAAATTAGTTCAGAATTTGTCCAGTTTAAGACATGCACTCTTCTCAAGCCAGTACCACCATCCCTTCTGGGCATTTTCAGTACATTTGGATTAGTGTGGTGTAGACACTTCTGTAAAATGCCAAAAGCTGGAAAAACAAATAAAGGCACCTGAATCAGGATCTCAGGACATGTTGTCTTCCATAGGCTTATAAAGATGCATGGGGGACTCTTTCTGTGTTCTACTTTCACAGCTACAAGCTTGAATATCTTTTCGGTCTTTTGTATGAAATGTCATTTTTTTCCAAATTGTTTAATTTAAATTTAGAGGTCAGCTGCTTTTAGGAAATTGAGATATACTTTAAATGACTAAAAAATATACTAGAAAAATCAGCAAGGTTTTTAAATTTTAATCTGAGCAAATTCATAAAACATAACTATAGGAGGACTTTTATCCAGACCAATTTTAAGTAAACTATTGTGCACTAAAGAAGTTATAAGAGATTCCTTTGTTTCATTGCAGAACTTAACATCCAAGTGGCCAAACTGAGTGAATATACTCAACAACTTAATGAAACCACTGAGGTAATTTTTTCTTAAAAGTAAATGCACTAAAATTAACACCTGCCTTTAAATATTTAATACAACTATAATCATATAAAATATGTTGTATTCTTCTATTGCGTTCTTACCTGACTAGATCTTCCAGTAATATAGCATGCTTCTTGTTGCAAGTTTGAATGCAACAGATTACTCCTGTTGGAATGTGTTTTGTTACAAAGACCTTGTTAATGTAACCTTTTCTCATTTTAAAGAAAATGACTACAAAGAATAAACAAATTCAAGAGCTCATTCACATCACGGAGCAAAAAGATGATGTTATAGCAAGACTCCAAGACTTAATATCCCATTTGGAAGCTACCATGAAAAACTATGTAAGTTGTTTTTTGTTTTTTTGGTTTGGTTTTTTTGTTTTGTTTTGCTTTTGTTTTTTGAAGTTTTCCCTTGTAAAGTAATTCTGATGATTTTAGTTTCTTTTTTTAATTCCCATAACAGCTCTAATAGGAATCAAATTACATCTTTTCAACACATATGAAGTTGTAGTGTTAACAATTACAAATAACAAAAAAACGTGGGGCTGGGGTATCAGGGTGAACCAGAACTTTGCACAGGCTAAAAGTCTGAAGGTGAACACAGGTGACAAACTAAAGTTAGAATGAAGCTATTTTAAGCATTTGAAATACTGGATTGAATCTAACCATAAATGGAAAGTTTCAGTAACTTGAAATGGGGCTGCACGCCAGTTACTGTGGTCCTCCTCCTGGACAGTACCACATGCCCTCCTTTGTGCTACACTGCACCATGCACCCCACTGCTGCTCTGCCATGCTGCATGGGACATCCCCACCTTTCTGTGCCATATAGGTGTCACCTCACCATACAAAATCTCTGGCTTTCCCCCTGAGCCTCCTGACCATGAGGTGTTGCAAGACTGGTGGCAGCAGCAAAAGGACAGCACCTAGACTGAGAATCCAAGGGCTGTAAATTAATCCTGGGCTGGATGTGGTCCATAGGCTGCTATTGAAAGAGCCTTGGCTTGAAGGCTGAGAAGGTAGTAGTGTGTATGGCTTTTGTTTTTGTCTTTTGTGGACAGCTCTGCTCTATATTGCCCTTTGACTAACTTGCCATGTAGATCCTATGGAAGGAGATGACTTATCTCTAGCTAAATTTAAAGTTTGTAGCAAAAGGTTGCCAAACTAACCTTTTGGACCTGATGATTTCAGATGCATATTGTGTCAACTATACTCTGGCTTTTTAGGGGTCTGAGGTTTCAGGATTCACTTTGTGAGGAAGTCAACAAAAAAAGGGACGAATTTTGTATCACCAAATCGCCATATTTTTATTCTTATAGTAATTGTCAAAACGCTTCCTTTTTTTAGAATAACTTGCTTGTAACATGTTTGCTTGGTTCATAAAACAATAACTAGTTCTACTTCAACATAGGACAGCGACGTAACAACTATTAAAAAAGAAATTGCAAAAGAGAACATCAACAAGAGAATACAAGACGTCCAGTTAAGTGAACTTGTGGAGAACATATTGGAAGTAGGAAGAAAACGCCGTTCTGAAAATAAGCTTACTCAGGAGGAAGAGCCACCTACAAAGAGAGGTACTGTTTCTACCACCAGTCAGCAGGGAGCCCTCCAAAAAAATGTGACTTCTAAACCAGAACAAAAGCAGAAAGTTGTAGCTCGCAGGTTTTATCGGCTGAGGAAGAGAAAGTCTATTGTGTCAAATACTAAATGGAAACTGTAAACTGTTTTTCATTAACTGTTTCTTCATTGTTTGGCGCTTAGATGGAATGTCTCATCTGTTTACTACCAAATTCTGAAATAAAATAATTTTAGATATTCTACTTTTTCCATCTGCTACTTTGTCCACTAATCATTCTGAAGTAGTTCCTTTTTCCTATTTGATTGCATTTTGGGTATATAGGCATAACTACTCTACTTTACTTTACTTTCTGCCATTCTTGTTGCTGTTAATCATCTAGCATTTTCCTGCGTATGCTTAAAAAAAAAAAAAAAAAAAAAAAAAAGGCTGAAAAACATTTGTTTAGTACATAATGTTTTGTTAGACGGTATGTGCTGTACAACTTCTAGTACAAGATACTATAGTAAATGTGTAGAGGAATACACATGGTACATTAGCATCTCTAGTCAAGACAATATGTTTTAAAAAAAACCCAAAACAACCCAAATGAACCTGATAATGGAAATTCTTCTACTTTCATGTCTAATAAAAACCAATGTAAACAAGCATCCTGGTTAAGCCAGGTGATTGCAGCTTTGATATCTTGTCTGCTCACCTTGCTTGAACTCTGTGCTTAGCTTGCTTATATGACAGAGAGAGGAAAGGGTTTAGTTTTCAAGTGAGATGGTTGGAGAGGGGAATATTGAACTAATACCTCCTGTGATACAGCAAATGGTTTATAACACCTCATACCCATTCATGCCTGAAAGGAGATTTTAAAAATGTCTGCTTAAAAATACAACAGTGATCAGGAACAGTGGAGAGAAATGAATAAGACAAAGTGGTAGCTTACCCCTGGGTAAAGAGATGTGACATTTTCAAAAAAGCTTCCATGTGGGAGGGGGGTGTGGGGAAACCTTTGTGACTTGAGCTGATACTTGGGCCTTATCCTCTTTTTTTGGTCGTAAGACTCAAGGCTCCATAAGCCTGTTTTCCAAAACTGTCAGAAGTCTGAGTTTCTGCTTAGTCAAGCCATCTGAGCTGCATGTCACACATTTTTTATCATTAATACACAAAATGACTCCCTGGCTGATCTCGGCTGTCAATTGTAAAATAGCTAAAACATTTGGAATTGCTTTCTGAGTTTCACTTACCATAAAACTACAATGCATTAGTAATATGGGCATCAGACCAGGTTTTGCTCTTGCTCTGTATCTCTTAGCCATTCATTTGCCTCTTTCTTTAGGATAATTTTTTTTATGTATTGTTAATATAGAAAATCCATGGCATTGTCAAAGTCTCATTTCTTGAGTCCTTGAAATAAATGCTATTTCTTTTAATCCAAAAAAAAAAAAATGGAAAAGGAAATGGTATTTCTTGCATCTGATTCTAATCCTATATGATTGAGGTCTGACTTTTAATGCTATCTGTGACACTTCTGTCACAAAGCTGTCACTTGCCTATCCTGGTGCTTATCTAAGATATACCAAGATAGTTTCCTCTTTGCTTACAGAGTTTGAAATCTATGCCGAGATCTATTTCTCTGTAAATCATTTTTAAAAAGTAGAAGGCTTCTTAACAAATTCTGGGTTAGCAAGTAGGTGATGCCTCTATATAAATATGACAAGTTGCATAATCATCAGTATCACATGCAAACACCTTCCACATACATGTACTTTTATAAACCCTGTGATGCTAAAATTTTTTGTTTGAATGTGTACTCTTGCAAACTTACAGCCCCTTCGAATGCTGATTATATCGTCAACAAACCACAGGACCTCCCATGTAAAACGTATATTTTACCCAAAATTACTTTGTGTGAAACACAAAAACACAAAATTACTTTCTCCCAGTGTTTCTAAAAAATATAACGCTCATTGCCCTGTAAACGCTAGACTAGGCCTGCCACCCCCACTGTATGCACTGGCCCTGTCCAGCCCATGGAGCCATATCAGCTGGCCATGGGGCTTGACAATTTGGTGGTGGGGAAGCAATGGCAGCATTAATTGCTACATCTCCATTACTGCTTCTGTTTCCAGACTTCTGGAGAACCCCAGGGGCCAAATAGCATGGCTCTGTGGGCTGAATCTGGCCTACAGATTAGAAGTTGAGCATCATTGCTTTAAAAGCATTACAAGATGTAAGAATTCTAAACCTCTCAAAGTCTTCCAAAGAGGTAAAAATTGCCATTTCGTATACACCATGGTTTATTACACCATGGCTTATTACTACCAATTTATTTTGCTGGAACTATACATTGATTACTTTTGTTTTTATTTTTTTAGGATGCATTCAAAATAAGTGTAAAGATGATGCACTAGAACAAACCATGCTTAAAGAACTGAAACAAAACATTTCTGAAAAAGATGCAGAAATGCTAGCATTAAAGGAAAGATATGAGAACCTGGAATGCCAGTTAACTGCACTTAAAGAAGAACTTAAAAATGAAAAAACAGAGAAGGAAGGCATCAGTGAACAAATGGCAGGCTTGCACCTCCAGCTATCTAGAAAAGAAGAAAGGGTTTTTGGCTTGAGTGAAGAACTCCAACAATCTCAGGCTAATTATGAGAAAATAGTTTTTGAATTGGAAGTACAAAAAGGTATAAATAAAGAACAAGAAAAAAAAATTAAGCAACTGACTATAGAGATAGAAACCACTAGCCAAAATATCAGAGAGAGAGCATCACAAATTAAAACAATGCAGTCTAAAATAGAGGAGGTATGTAAGCTTGATTTAGAATCCCACACTCTGGATGTTGATCTGGTCAATCTAAGGGACTTTTTGGAATATTCCCCCAAAAATACACCTGAGAAAACTCAAATGCATTCCTTATGCATGGATTTGCATGTTTCTAATGCTCCAGATCTAGGGCAAGAAAGCTCTTTCTATTGCAGCGTTGAAGGCATTTGGAAAGAGTGCAGGAAGATTATTGAGGTTTCTTCCCAAAAGAGTTGTAAGATCCAAGAACTGCTTCAGCAGGTTGAATATTTACAAAAGCAAGTCAGTGATGCAGGGAATGAGAACAGTCAACTAAAACTGAAATTGAATGAGATTACAAATCAAGGTAATCTGTTTTTAAAGGAAAAAGACATCCTTGTTGATCAATTACGGGAACAATTGCAGGAAAATACCCTTGATTCTGAAAAACATATAGTTGAACACTGCAGAACAATTATGCGTCTTGAAAAACAAATTTCTGACTACAAAACAAAAATAAAAGAGCTTGAAAGCCTCTTAGAAATTTATAGGACAAAAGATGATAATGCAGCCACTTTAAAAAATATGCTTAAGAAAAAAGATTCTGTTATTTTAAAGATAGAAAGTAACGTGAGAGATCTTGAAGAGAAATGTAAGAATTCAGATAAAAAGATCAAAGAATTAAATGATCAGGAAACAAAACTGAAGGAGGAAGTCTTGCAGTTGAAGGATAACTTGAAAACAACTGAACAGTCACTTCAAGAAAAAGAGAGAGAAAATGAAAGAAAAAAAGAAGCTGCAGAACAGTAAGTACTGATAATACTGAATAGGCACCTGAGAGTAGATCTAGGATGTATGTGCATTGACTTCCTTTCAGAGAACATACTCATACTTACCAACTGTAAATGCCAAAGAAGGGATTTTGATATTAAAATTTCTTTCTAAAAGCATCTGTATGCATTAGTGTTTCTCAACCAGGGTTCCACGAGATCCTTTTTAAGGATCCCCTGGGAGGCCAGTCCCTGGAAAAATCATGGAGCAGGTCTTTAAGGAATCCACCGAGGACAAGTCATGCCTGGCCACCCCGATTGCTTTTTATGATGTGCTGACTGGCTCTGTGGATGTGGGGAGAGCGCTAGTTAGGATATATTTTGACTTTAGCAAGGCTTTTGGTATGGTCTACAACACTCTCTAGCAAGCTCAGGAAGTACAAATGAATGGACTGTAAGGTGGACAGAAAAGTGGCTGGATCATTGGGCTGAACAGATAGTAATCTATGGCTCAATGTCTAATTGGCAGCTGGTATCAAGTGGAGTACTCCCGGGGTTGGTCCTCGGGCTGGTTTTGTTCAATATTTTCATCAGTGATCTGGAAGATGAGAGAGAGTGCACCCTCAGCAAGTTTGCAGATGACACCAAGCTGAGGGGAGTAGTAGATATGCTGGAGGGCTGGGCTAGGGTTTAGAGAGACCTTGACAAATTGGAGGATTGGACCGAAAGAAGTCTTGTGAGGTTCAATAAAGACAAGTGCAAAGTCCTGCACCTGGGACAGAACAATCCCATGCACCAGTACAGGCTGGATACTGACTGACTAAGTGGCAGCTCTGCAGAAAAGGACCTGGCAGTTGCTTTGGACAGTAAGCTGAATATAAATCAACAATATGTCCTTGTTGTCAAGAAGGCTAATGGCATATTGGGCTGTATTAGTAGGATCATTTGCCAGCAGGTCAAAGGAAATGATTATTCCCCTCTATTCAGCACAAGTGAAGCCACATCTAGAGTTTTGTGTCCAGTTTTGGGCCTTCCACTACAGAAAAGATGTGGACAAATTGGAGAGATTTCAGCCGAGGGCAATGAAAATGGTTAGGGGACTGGGGCACATGACTTCTGAGGAGAGGCTGAAGTAACTGAGCTTATTTAGTCTGGAGAAGAAAAGACTTGAGCAGGGTTTTAGTAGCATCTGTCACTTATCTGAAGGATGTTTCAAAAGATGAGATAGATAGTCTGTTCTTGGTGGTGGTAGATAAGAGAACAAGGAGCAGTGGTCTCAAGTTGCAGGAAGGGAAGTTTAGTTTAGATATTAGGAAAAACTCAGTTGGAGGGCAGTACAACACTGGAACAGGTTACCTAGAGAGATTGTGGACTGTCCGTCCTTGGAGATTTTTAAGACCTGGCTAGATGAAGCCTTAGCTGGATTGATCTAGTTGGGGATGGTCCTACTTTGAGGAGGGGGTTGGACTAGACTTCCTGAGGTCCCTTTCAACCCTTGTTTTCAATGATTCTATGATCCAGGATTCTGTGAAATATTAACACTGTTGAGTGTGCAAACACCTATACAATTGACAAGGTAAATGTAGAGGTTTTAAAAAGGGAATCTGCTATCAAAAATATTCTGACGTGTTGTGGTTGTTCTGATTTCACTGCAAGAAAAGAATTGCTTTATTTTTCTGTAGCCAAGATCTGAGCAGAAGCTAAGAGCTGGCATTTTCTGAGGGGTGCCATTTTTTTTGTTCAATTTTTTTTTTAATTGCGCGGCTTTATACTGTAAACATAGATGCAAATAAATTCTTGCTTGTAGAATTGTTACAGGGCAGGAAATATGAATTCATAAGAGAATTAGAAACCAGGAATTCTAAAAAGTAGTGGAATAGATAATTCAGCTTCATATATTGCAGTTGTTTAAGGTGACATTTGAAATGCCAGAATGTTAAGAGGTGTGGTTGGTAGCCGTGTTGATCTGAGACAAAAAGGCATACAAAAAAACTAGAACTCTTGGTTCCAAAATGATACCTTTTATTAGACCAAGTGGAAAATGGCAAGAAAATTGTCCTTTTCTGCAAGCTTCTGGGATCAAAGTCCCTTCATCAGGTTCTGGGAAAAGTGTATGTGGTACCAGATGGTAAAAAGTCCCCATAGGTAGGAAATAAACTTAATTTTTGCAGAGGGATCTGAAGATGGAAAGCTGTCCCTCTGGGTCCATGAGTGTCTTTGTGAGCTGTGTTGAGTAGCTCTTTGATGCATTGATCAGGTAGAATGCCTTCCCTGGAGGTGTCAGATGGCAGGCAGGGAGGTAAAAAAAAAATTCTATCTGATCAAGACATCAAAGAGCTACTCAACACAGCTCACAAAGACACTCATGGACCCAGAGGGACAGCTTTCCATCTTCAGATCCCTCTGCAAAAATTAAGTTTATTTCCTACCTATGGGGACTTTCTACCATCTGGTACCATCTATACTTTTTCCAGAGCCTGACAAAGGTACTTTGATCCCAAAAGCTTGCAGAAAAAGGCAATTTTCTTACCTTTTATTAGAACAACTCGAAAATGGCATTATTTTGGAACCAAGTGTTCTAGTTTTTGTATGGTGGAATGTTAAGAGCAGTTCATATGGTAACAGCCATTATTGGTGACCATTTCGCTACCATGATAGGGTGATAACTTAAATAATGGGGTAGGAAGATGGAGCCCATCCAGAAACACAACTGTGCCCTTACAAGGCACAAAGGGCTCATGGATTTTAAAGTACTATTTTATAAAATGTCATGGTCAGCTCCCATTTTTGTAAGATGTTGAAAGGCTTTTTCCTTGATTAAATCTTAGGTTAGAAATTCTGTTTGTTTTGTTTGCATTTGAATTTAAGGAAGATTAAAGGAGGTTTGGTCCAAAGTTCAGGGCTTTTTTTTTTTTGTTCTAAAGAAAAATTATAAAACAGGAATGTGTCCTTAATGGAGTTTTTGTTTTGTTTGTTTGTTTGTTTGTTTGTTTGTTTGTAATGATTTTCTAGTACCTTTGTATTACTTGCATACTGAAATGCAGTGTTACTTGAGTGCATTAAGAATCCAAAAAGTGAAATGGACTGTTTGATTTTTATGCAAGGTCTCATTCGACAGTCTGAAATCCATTTGGCAGATTAGGGAAACTGGTACAGCAGTTGACTTGCTCATTGTCCTACAGCAAGTTAATGCCATGGGGGAAACTAACCCCAGTGACCCATATTCCAGTAATCTGTTCTAACAAATGTATCTCTTGTACAGTAATATTTTCATTTTTTCAGTATTTAAATCTCTTTTCTTAATCCCAAGGTTGAGTAAAGACCTCTCTGAGAGTTCTTCTGTCATACAGCATCTAAACATAGATCTCCAAAGGAAAGATGAGGAATATGCAGACCTGAAAGAGAAGTTAGCAGATGCCAAGAAACAAATTCAGCAAGTACAAAAAGAGGTTTGGAACAATAACAGGACACATTCTTTGTACAGATTAAATCTAAACTAAATCAATCTTTGCTTATCAAACATTACAGTATTTACTCAAATCCAAAATGAGAGTTGCTCTCCCCTCCATTTTAACATAAGGAAAAAAGCACCTCATCTTTGGTTGCAGTACAAAGTGGGGGGGAGGAGTCAGGCAGTTGCTGTTGTTCCAACTCTAGCAGCAACCTGGAATTTGGGCTGGAGTTAGAACCACAGCTGCCATTGCCATCTGCACCACCAGCAGCCCCCTGACTCTGGCCCTGCTGTGGTCTCAGGCCTCCACCTAGCCATATAGTAGCTACAGTCCTGACTCTGGAGCCAGGGATGGAGCTGCTTTGTGCCCCAAGCCTGAGGGGTGGGGTGGGGTTGGGTTGGGTTGGGGAAGAGGTGGTGGGCGGCATGCTTTGGGAGTTGCGGGGGAGGCAGGCAGCAGGGAAGGCTAGGTGGGAAGGGGGCAAGTGCCAGGGAAAGCAGGCACCATGGGACGGTTAGGGAATAGGGGGCACAGGCACGGTGTAGCGAATGATGGAGGGGCAGGTGTTGGGGTACATAGGTACTGCGGGAGCAGGCAGGCAAGGGGATGGGACAGGCAGCAGGGGCAACTTGTGGGAGAGCAAGGTGCAGGGTTCAAGCCACTTGACTTCCCCCCCCGCCCCTCCCCCCACCTCTGCTTTACTGTGGTATCCCTTTGTCTCCTGACCCCTACCAGTGGTAGGGGTGATGAATTTAAAATGACCTTTCAATAATTAGATTCTATCCATGGAAAAATATGTAAAATTTATATATTTTTTCCATGGATAGAATCTAATTGTTGGATTATCTTAAATTCTAAATTGTGTTGATTCGAGTAAATGTGGTAGTTCTCAAACACCTGACTAGTATAAATTTTCAGATAAATTCGTATTAATACTGGACTAAAAGTGAACCTGAAAGAGAGCATTGGTAAAACTATAAGCTAATGAGAGATGACACTTACTCATTCATGTTTCAATATGCAGATACTGTCATGGGTAGGGACCTACCAAAATTGTGATTTCACAACTTTTGCGGAAACCAGGATTTTGGGCGAGCTCCACAAAAAAAAAAAAAAAAGAAGAAAGTACAGGCTCTCCACTTTTGGTGGGCTCCCGGGGCGGTGGGGACTTAATGAAAATAAATTTTTCTGCAACCTGGCCATGCAGCCTGCCTCGGGGAGGGGTGGGGGTGAGGAGGGGAGAGGGGCTGCTTGCATCATAAGATGGCTGCCACTGACACCTGTTGCCACTGATTGGTGGACAGCCCTTGAAGCCAGTTAGCAGCAAGGGGCGGGGCTGTTGCAGACAGCCTTCTCAGCCAAACAGTAACAAGCGGCAGGGCCACTGGGGCCCCTCAACCTATTAGAGTCTGGGGTGAAAGGTCTGCACTTAGACTGCAAAAATGGCTGCCAGCCTGGGCATCTGCCCACAAAATTGGCCGGCAGCCACCTCAAGTTCAGTGGACATCTAGTAATGGGAAAACACTTATTGTGCAAAGGTGTAATAGGGTAGTTCCATACCCTGGGCAGTGGTTGTGCACAGGGTAGTGCACACCTATTTTTGCACCCTTTTCCCCCAAAAGGCAGCTCCCAAGTTGCCCCACCATCCTCCAGTAACCATCACTGTCATTGTGTGTGGTCTATATAATGACTTCAGATGCCATTTTGGCCAGTCTGGTTACTGACAAGAATGTTGCAGACTAGATTAGTTAAGTGGCACTATGGAACATGCACATCTGACTTTGGGGGTTGTATTTTCTTAGCATGTTGGAGGCTGTACTATATAAAGGTAACACTTTGACTGGTCTTTTGGGGCATCAATCTGCCACTTTTTCTGACTGTAGGTCTACCACAGAAGATGTAAACCCTGTCTGCTTGTTTTCGAGGGAAATGCCTGAAGACCTACAATTAGATAGTGCAGATGTCTCAGAAGTGGACTCCAGACCCTCTGAGAGTTCCCCTGGGTTGTACTTGGCACTGGAGGCCATTTTTTGACTATTTACACTGATTAATTGTGGGTTTTAGATGTGCTGGAGCAGCAGGGAGTGGGTGAAGCTTATTTCCTTGGTGACTGATCTGACATCAGGAAGAAGCAGTTTAGATATGGCCTGGGGTGAGATTAGAGAAGATTTGCCAGAATGGGAATGTGCTTATTTCTCTGATATTTCCCTCAGTGGGTCAAATGAAAGTTACATGTTCCATTAAAATATGTGAAAGAAAATTTAAACAGTAACTTTTAGTTGCACTAGTGACTAATATCTAACTACCAAGCAACAGGTATAATTAAAAATCTGTTAGGGTTGCTTACTGCAACAGTTTGCATTTTAGACAGAGGCTGAATTGTACAGTTTAGCCTTAGTTGAATTACTGTCTCCCTAAAATAAAAGCCCACTAGCACTTGTTCTGCTTCCAACTCGCCTTCTAAATATTTATGGTTAGCCACTTGTGAAGGAGCAGTAAAGAAGTGAGATTGTGCCAACAGAAAACTTATTCGTTTTATGGGTATGGGTGAAATGCATACTTCACAGATTGTCGGTACCTGTTGAATACTGTAAATCTTCCACACAAGGAAGATGGAAATGTAGTAGTGTGTACTTTGAAAATGAGTGAAAATAATGTAGTTTGAAATCTTCATGCGAGTCTTCGAACATATTTAAATCTAATTGTACTGTAAGTGCAGTCTGCTTATACCACCGCTGCTCTACCCATTGACCCCATGGGCCAGATTGGGGGGCAGGATCAGGCCCTTAAGTGTCTCTGTCTGGCCTCACACTCTCTCCCCCATCCCCACTCACTTAGATTGGGCCCTGCACACTCCAGTCGGTCCTGTATTGCCTCTTCCAAACCCAATGCACTGGGATCAGGTTGAGCCACTTCTACCTAGCTCAGCACACAGGGATTGAGTCCTGCACTGCCTCCAGTAGCGTGCAGGGCCACGTTATCAGGCCTATAGGGCTCCTTGGGCCAAATCTGACCCATGAGCCAGGGGTTGAGCACTCCTAACTTTTGCTATCTAAATTAAATGAAAATAACAAGCAGAGGATGATGAGCTATGTGCTTCACTTGTCCTTTCACAGGTGTGCACGATGCGCTCAGAGGAGAACTGTCTGAGGAACAAAGTTAATGAACTTGAGAAAACTAAAAACCAGTTGGTTGACGAATTAGACATCAAACAGCGAACAATCCAGCAACTTAAGGTATTTTTTTACTATTGTGGAAATGAGCATTGTTTACTCTGCATTTTGTCTAATGCTGTAAGAAGATGTCTAAGCAGCAAGACAGCCTATGGAAATAGGGTAAAATAAAATCAAGTTTAATTTTAACTTAATGATCAAAAAAAAATGTTTAAAGACTGTCTACTGATACTACCTTATCAAATTTGCTTTGATAGAACTAAGTGTTCAGGAAATGTATTATTTAATATATTAATTAATAATCCAATCAGCAGATGCTTTTACTCTGTGTTGAAGTATCTGAATTTGAATTAATAGTAAAAGGTTAAAATGCCTTTTATAGTATATTAAAAAGCTCCTTATTCTTCATCACACCTAAATAATCACCTAATAAGGTTCCAATTAGCAGACTAAAAAGCCTTTCAGCAAATACCAGTATGTGTATCTGTTTTCAGATGTATTCCTACTAATTTGCTTTCCATGTGCTATTTAGGAGCAGTCGAATAATGAGAAGATGGAAGAAATTTTGAAGCAATATGATAATGCATGTAAAGGTCAGCAATAGCCATTTTTTGTATCCTAGAATGAAATGATAGTGGAAGGAGTTCTTGTGTAATTTGGCTTGAAGGAGTTAATGTTCATGTTTTAAAATGTTGCTTGGCATCAACAAATTCCTAACCTGACATTTAAAATTTTGAAGTGAGAAGCTGCATTTTTTTTTTTTTTAAAGCCCCTGTCAAGGAAATTGAGACACAGGATAGGGATTCCAAACTCCATCTAAAAATAAAATAGATTGAGTTTTCCATTCTCTTCACTTAACAGTTTTCAAAAAAATCAGAGGAGGGGTTAGGGATACCTTTTTAACAACACTGTGAAGATAAAAGCACTAGCAGGTTTAATGCAGGTTTGAGATGTATCAGTGAAGTGATGGTTCAAATTTCGTATTGTATTAGGAGAAGAAACTAGAGGAGTCTCCAGATGCTGAGTTGGGGACAGTTGGATAATGTAAAAAACGACAGCCACTAGTTTGACCGCCTTGACCATGGACACTAAAAATGCATTATTGCACCAAAAGAGCTTTGGATTCAGAACTAATTGAATGGACATGCCAACTTTGGAGACTATTATACAGCCTAAGAGAAACAGAAGCCTCCATTGTAAACTTATTTTTAAATTTTCAGATTTGTGTGCAAAAAAGAAAATAATTGAAGACATGAGATTGACATTAAAGGAGCAGGAAGAGACTCAGATGGAGCAGGACCAAGTGCTTGAGGCCAAATTAGAAGAGAATGAGAGATTAGTTTCTGGTAAATACCTGTATAGAATCCAAGAAGGGAGGGGTACAATATACTTTGTTTTACTAATTGCCCTATTGCATTTCTCCCTTTTTATCGTTGACTTCGTTACTGTTATATTGGCCCGAATCTAAAATACTGTTACAGTTCTGTTTGAGCATAGTGACATGTGGTGCACTTCCTGTCTCTCTGCCATCTCATCACTCCAACAGTAGTGATAATTAATCATCATAAAAGATACCAACAAGAGAAAGAGGTGAACATGGTAAGAATATTAAAAGTGAAGCATATCATATTTTATCTTGTTCTCATGTTCTGCCTAGAATTGGAAGAATGGAAGCAAAAATATAAAGAGCTGGAGAAGCAGAGCAGTGGTAATAAGCAACAAATAATAAGCAAACACGAAGAAGAAAGTATAGATGTTAGAGGACAACAAATAAAGCTGCAAGAAAGACTGAAGGTAAAGTTTAATCCCTGAATTCATACTTTAAATGTACCATGTTCAGTTTAAAGTAGGCAATAGTCTGCATCACTTCTTTTCTTGTTACACCCTAAAGATTGGGCATGTTAAAAAGACATGTTGTCAGGTCATGACCTTGAACCTTGGCCTGACCAGCACAGCTGCTTATCCTGGCCTGCCACCCTATAGCTGGTCACCTGAGGTAGTCAAGGCTGTCCTGAAGCTTCGAGCAAGGCCTAGCACTCCTTCCAATCACTGGTACTCGGTGGCGACACATAGTGGGTGCATGGGGATGCACATGCACCCTCTGACTGGCTGTGCTTCCCAGTTAGGCGATGGGCAGCAGGGGCAGGCGGGAGTGCTGGTGCCCCCCCTGCAAGTGCTGGCTGGGGATTGGGAGCGCCAGCTGTAGCGCGGCGGCCGCTTCCCGGTTGGTGAGTTTTGCCCCACCACCCAGTTGCTGACTGGTTGCTGGGGGGGCAGGGCACGTGCCTCCCCGGCTAAGGTGGCAACAGTCACCCATGCTTGTACTGGAGTAGCTGACCCTCCAGTTCCCCCATATAAACTGACCCAGAACAGGAAGTGTCTGGGCAACAGGACCCAACTTGATTTCAGACTGTTTTGCTGTTCCCTCCAGCTCCGCTCTGACTCTGCTCTCTCCTTGAGCTCCTGGATTCTTGAACTAACTTGTTCTCTGGCTCTGCTTGATCCCCTGGCTTCCTGACTCAGCTTGTTCCTAAACCCGACTCTTTGCTTCCTAAACCCTAGCCAATTTAGCACACAGGGCCATGCTGTCTGTACACATTGCTCCCTGTGGGTCTGGAAATTTGACAGTAGGGGAGTGTCAATGCTGTCACTGCTGCCACACTACCAAATTTTTGGGGCCTTTGGGGAGCTCTGCAAGACAAATAACATTGCTCCCCTGCTGGATCAAGCTTGCCAGGCAGGTGTTGAGCACCTCTGCACTAAATCGTTTGAACACTTCTTCTCAATTTACTTCTCCTTTCTGCATTTTTCCTGTGCTGCACACTTCATGCAGTATTTTTAATAACCATAGTTATTTAGAAAATGCCATCCATTAATTAAAAGGAAAGTTTTGGAATAAACAACACATCATCTATTAAGTCCTTGTAACTATCTGTAGCACTAAGAGGGGGAGACACCAAATCAAAAAAGCTTCCTTTCAAACCGGATACACTTGCTGAATCTGTACTTAACAACCCTTCCCCTGTCCTGCTTAGTCCACCAGATTTGACTGTCTCAAAATAATATGCTTGTCCTTTGAAGTTTAAGACTACCTTCTCACTGTGAGGAATTACATTTGACTTCTTGGAGTGAGGAGGTGGTTAATCTCCAGACAACTTCTTGAGAAAGGCGCTTGTTCCCTTTCCTGGAAAGGACTCATGACTGTTTTACACAATCAGCACAGTCATTGCATTTTCAGGATGGCAGCTATTACCTTTTCCCATTCAGCTTGCACCCTTGGTGCTGCAAGTACCTTTGTTTTGAGGAAAAGATAAAAATAGAGGTTTCCCTCGATTTATGCGGTGCATGCTTTCCCAGAGAACGGCACATAAATCGAATTCGCATAAAGCAAGCCCACTTTACAGTGTAGCAGATAGGGATAATTTCCCATGGTGGTGAGGAAGGGAGTGAAGCTGGGACTAGGGAAGAGGTAGGGGGAGGGGTGCCACTCCCAGGGCTGCATAAGGCAGCAAACCAGAGGGAACAGAGCGGCACTCACCCCAGCCTTGGCTTCAGTGGCCCCAAGAGCAACTGACTCCAGCTGCCTGTAGCAGCTGGGCTGCACCATGCCCCAAGTGCCCCCAAGGCTCTGCCGGTCCCCTCTCACCCCTTCCCATGCTGGAGTGGCCCCGGGAGCAGCTGACACCAGCTTCCTGCACCAGGGTACGGAATATTGGCACCCTTAAAATGTGTGAAAATTATCAAGTTAACATCAGCCTAACCATTGAGAGCTTTCATCCTGATAAAAGAAAAGATTCATATCTTATTACTTTTATCTTTCATTAAAACAGGAATCCGAAGAAAAATATAAAGCTGATAGAAAGAAATGGTTAGAAGAAAAAATGGGACTCATAACTCAAGTAAAAGAAGCTGAGAATCACCGTAACAGGGAGATGAGAAGATTTGCCGAAGACCGAGAACGTTATGTAAAGCAACAAACAGAAATGGTAGGTCATGAACCATCAGCCCTCATTTTTATGGCATCCTTACCCTGGGCTTCAAAGAAAGTGATGAGTTGAATCTGTAAAGTGCTTACTTAAAGCAGATCTAAATAGTCTAATTATCATATTTACTTGAATAGAAGGTGACCCTGATTATAAGATGACCCCCCCCAATAATTAGATTCTATATATTGAAAATTTATAAATGTTGTTATAATTTCCCAGTTAAAGAATTTAATTATTGGATCTTTGCCTTGACCTTGTCCCGTGGGTGACTGGTGCTGCCTTAGTCGGGGCGGGGGCACATGCTCCACCTGCGACCAATCCTGCTGACCGGGGAGAAGAGGGGGGTCCGCAGCTGATCTCGCTGCCCGGGGGGATCCCCCTGCCGTCAATCCCACAACAGCTGATTGCTGTAGCCGCTTCTGAGAGTGTCTGCAGCTGCTTCTGGGAGTGGCTGCAGCAATTGGCCAGCTCTTTCAGGGGTGGCAATGGCACTCCTGCTGGCCCAGCCTGCCCGTTGCTTAAGCAGCGAGCGTGACCAGTCAGGGGGTGCACCGGCTCTCTTAGGGGATGCACATGCGCCCCCTACGCGTTGCCACTGCCTTGTCCTCCTCTCACTGCTACAGCATGAAAATAAATCTTGGGGATCAGATAGCTACTGGCTTTCATCATTCCCCCAACTTTTTCCCCTGGCAGCCCCTTCCCTCTCTCTTTACTATAGACCTTGATCTCCCTGAGCACATGGAAGTGAGGAGGAAATTTGAAAACAATAGCCTTGAAATTAAACATGCTGTAGCAATTTGCATAAAGCACCCAGGCACTTAGTTTATCTAGTATAGGCAGTCCTCAGACTTACGACACAATTGGTTCCTGAAAACTGTTTTAAGTCGAAACGTTGTAACTTGAAACCAATTTTCCCATAGGAACAATGTTATAAATTGGTGATTGGTTCCTTTACTACACTAGATACAGCTGCGTCCAGCTGGTAAGTCTGTTGTGGTAGATGGTGATGGGGGAGGGAAGGCATGTGGGGGGGCAGATCAGAGCCCCACAGTGATGGACGGATTGGGGCAGGGGCTGGGACAGGCGTGGAACAAAGGCAAGGCTCATCCAGGGGGTCTGGCTGCTCCCACCGTTGCGTGCTGCTGGTCCAGGAGCTGCTCGTCTGGCAGCTCCCGCCACTGCCCCTGTCCCTGCCGCTCATTTGGGAGGGCAAAGGGAGGTGGGGGAGCTTGTGCCCCCAGATCTGCATGGGGCGGGCAGAGCTGGGGCTGCGGTGCATTGCGTTCCAGGTGGGCAGCGGGGGCTATGGCAAATTTTCGGGTGGCTGCAGCCCCCCCATAGCCTCTGCTCTGCTGCCTGCCCTGCCCTTATCTGTAGGCACCCCCCCCCCAATGCCTTTTGCTGTTTGCCCAGCCAGGGCGGGCATGAGAGAGAGACGTGGCTCGTTGAGGTGGGAGGCAGTGGCTCTGTCCTGCATCTGCTCTGCCTTGGCAAGGCGAACGGCGGCAGGGCATAGGCCCACTCCCAGTGCCACCGTGTCTGCCAGGAGCACAGCGTGGTGCTGCCTCGGCCTCGCCCGCCCGCGGGGCACCCCCCCTCCCCCCCCCCCCCTCCCCCCAGACAAGTAGCTCCCACACCACTGGCACTCAGCAGTGGGAGCCACCCTGCTCCCCTCCCCGCGCCCCTCAGATGAGCTGCAGCTTTGTCTCACGCCCTTCTGTTCTGGCGGGCAGCACTTGCCCCAGCCTCTGCCCCAATCCCTCCTTCACTCTGGGGACCTTGATTTGCCCCCTCCAACAGCCCTTCCCTCCTCTCCTCTCCTCTTCCACCACAACAGACTTTTTAGCTGGACACAGCTGTATCGAGCGTCGTAAATTTGAAACCTGCCTTGGAACCTCAAAACGGTGTCAATTTATCGAGGTCATAAGTGTTGTTTGTCATAACTCAAGTCATAAGTCAAGAACTGCTTGTCTTGATGCACGTTCTCTCTTTTTTTTTTTTTTTTTTGAAACTGCTATATGTTTTAGCACAGGTATTCCATAAACACACTTTTGAGCAGCACTTTGGCATCTACTTATAGTAGTACAAACTATGCATATTATTAGTCCAGAACCAAAGGCTTATAATTTACCATTGGGCTGGGCCCCACCAGAGTCAACAGTATTTCAAGCTATGGTGACCCCAGAGCTCAGCACTGCTCAGTGCGGGGTGTGTGTGTGTATGTATTCCAGTTACCTCCACAAAGGATCTATGTGCTAATTAGCCCCCACTCATGACTGGAACCAGGTGTTCTTGTCACAAGTCTTGGGATACTCCAAACATTTATATACAGATGAGGCACAGGGCAACCCTGTCCAGCTTCAGTTCATGGAGGGTAGGACCACATTAAGCATATGCACCAGGTTGAGAGAGGGACAGACAGGGATGGTGGGTGAACTGTATGCAATGTTGTTGCTCACCATGACTTAAATGGTGAGGGGGACTGCACTCTGGGTACTACCATATGTCTTCTACAGGTGGGTTACGCTATTCTATTTTTGTAGTCGGTTTCCATCAGCATGTTTGCTCAATGTGTTTCATAGATTCATAGATGTTAGGGTCGGAAGGGACCTCAATAGATCATCGAGTCCGACCCCCTGCATAAGCAGGAAAG